AGAGGACGGCCTGGAGCTCCCTAGTTGGGATGCTGCCCCCGCGACCCGGACCCGGATAAGCGGAGGAAGACGACGACGACGATACATGTATATATGTATATTCATACATATGTACATATACATATATACATATACATATGTACATATACATATACATATGTGTATATACATATACATATATATACATATATACATATACATATGTACATATGTACATATGTATATGTATAAATGTATATGTATATATGTATATTCATACATACTTAAATCATTGCAAGCATTCCTTTTGTGTTCAAGGAAGACCTTACCAACGGATGGCCATTAGGGTCAAAAACCCCTGGGAGTGCAACCTCCAGCAAAATAAGAACATCAGGTTCCCGTTCATCACTGGCATCAGGTGAAGAGGTAAACGTGTAAAACAACAACGTCTGACAGTGAAAGTTTGGTAACAACTTGTTATAAATTAGTAAATGCATGTTGTCCTCACGGGCTCAGCCTTCAGAGAGTACAGACGCTTTTTTCTCAGCTCCCTTACTGGCTTCCCCAAGGCTCTTGTCCCGTCTGCCTACAGAGCACTTCTCTGCATTTCTCCTGAACCACTACTCTTTTTTGGAAATATGGACTTAATTAACTGGTCATTCAACGCGATTGATAAGATTTTTTCTACGATGAGAACGGAGAAGGGGGCTCCCACCTGTCCTGAGGGGACATTCGCATCGGGATATGCACTCGATTCTTGGGAGGTCTGGCGAATCGTGTGCCTCTCTCAGCTGTCCATCGAGGACGTGGAAGATTTGTGGATGTTCGGCCTGATGATCACTGGATTTCTTCTGATTGGAGCGGGAGGATATCTGGTTTTCTGGAAATTTGGAAAGACGAGAGCGATTGGAGTGCGACCCGTGCCCACGGAATGTGCCGCTCGGGCGGTGACCTCACAGACGTGGACGTTACTCGAGGTGCACCGTAAGCTGGACAATGTCCTCGCGGCATTGCCTGTGATAGTGCGCAAGATGGATTTGATCTCGGAGAGGGTCGCCGGACGATGCGGGGATGTTTAGAACGTAAAAGTGGCTTCACTGGTGGACATGAATGACCACTTATAGACTCCAAGGCGGAGAGGAAAATTATCTCTGTCTGCCCTAAACAAAGCCATGTTTATCCTTATCTGACGCCATAGCAGCCTCTCAAGGCTGCTTCAACACACCCCCATGAAAGGAGGAATGCCGACAGATGCTGTGTCCCGACCTTCACCCTCTTCCTTCAGATTGAGACGTCTGCGGGAAACTTCAATGTGCTCTCTGTTCCTTATCTCTCCCTCCCACCTGTTGGTCTGCAGCTGGTCGATGCGCCGCAGTGGCAGCTCCGATTGGAGGCTTCAGGATCCCGCCCATCCCCGCCTCCCCATCGGACTCTGATGTTTTGTATCTGTGCTGTTTGTGCTTCCATGTTAAAGGAGTTTTTTTTTTGTATAATAGAGTTACTCCCCGCTGGGTCTAACTCCGCTATGCCTTTTTTTACCTTACCCCCACTTATCCTCATGTAACACCCTTTTCATCTATCTATTAAGGTAGCGCGACTCATGTTGCGAATGACCGCAGTCACCAATTCTTGTCATGTGTCTTACCCACGTATGTCTGATCTTTGAATTGTGTGTGCTGAAACTCAATTTCGTTTCTCTGTATGTCCTGCACATGTGGTAGAAAATGACAATAGATGACTTTGACTTTAGAAGGAAACATGGCATCGCCCAGAGACTTAGGGTGTTTTTCAATGTCAAGGTGCTTGGCCTTGCTTACGAGGACGCTGTCCTTCCTTGGTCAAAGAAAACGATTAACTCATTCGCTGCCAGCGTTTCTCACCGTTTTTACTGTTTTTTTAAGAGTCACAGAACGTTGCGCGCTAGGATGATGTCGACGCCAAAACAACCAAATCAAAGAGGAGACTCACCTCTTACATCAGGAAGAGTTTCGAGCGTTATCCGTTCTTTCATAATCCGTTGTTGAATTGTGATCGGCAGAAGCTTTTCCGGTTCACGCCTCACTTTTTTTTACAGCAGCGGCCCAAAACGATGTCCTAACACATGGATGTTTTGCTTCCTGATCAAGTGACGTGTGACGTATGCGGATGAAGATCGGCTTCAGGGCTGAGATGTTTGTTCTCTCGGCGCGGGGGCTCGTTCCGATGCTCAAACAGTAAAAAAATGCAAATGACGACTTTAGTAGTCATTGGCAGTGAATGAGTTAAATGGAACAGACTTGCATCACGTTACCGCGGCTTCTACTACGGTCACGTAGCGTCACGTGACATGGGAGATACTGTTATATTTTATACGTATAAGTTTCAATGTAAACAATATAACGAGCCTTTTACTTTTTAAATTGTGTATATGTTTATTATATTAAATATATCAGCGAGTTACTACCTGCTAGCCACCAAAGCTGTAACTAATTGTCACGAGCCTGAGGTGGGGGAGGTTGGACTCAAGGTGCAGGAAACCCAAAACAACACAGTGTCATGGTCCGTGGTGAGCTGCCTGCCTGTAACCTGGTTTTTCTACTGAGCTTGTTTCCACAGGTGGGCGTGTCTGAGAGCTCCCAGCTGAAGCTGATCTCATCATCAAGGCCAGGGGATTTAAGGAGCAGTGTGACTTTTCACCACGCCGGATGATTTACTCAGTTTGGGTAGCTCTAGCCACTAACCAGACCTAGACATTTTGTATTTTTGCTCGTGATAACCTGTCGTCTGAAAACCCCTTCATGCCCTCTCCTGCTTTTTCCCAGGTTCCTCTTAAAAGTCCTCAGCCTCTCCAGAACAAACCCGGATCACAACCTACCTGACACACTGCTCCATCCTCTGACCGCCCGCTCTCAGCCGCTCACCTACCACATCCATTTCGGCTCCTACACCTCTGGACAAACCAACCACCGATATCCTCAGCTCACCCGGACCCGACAACCCTCCCGGTGCATTTAGTGCTGCCAAGAAACAGTAAGACCAGTCTCCAGTTAAATTTCCATCTGTTTCCATTAGTTATTCACTCTGTCTCCCTCCTTAGAAACCTCCTCCTGGAGTCCTGCTGCCAGTCCTGCATCTCGTCGAGTCCCAAACCTCCGTTGCTCGTTATTTCAAAAATAAAACCTTTTACTTACCATCCTGCTCTCCGTGTGTGATTCTGCATGTCGTGGGTCAAGAAACTGCCTCTCGCCATGACACAGAGTTTCAGAGTTCAACAAATGAAAAACAAACTTGAGACCAGGAGGTGAAATAACAAAAGAGGGACTGGAATCCAAGTCTTCAGCCCAACAATCCCAGCATAAAAAACCAGAGATAAGAACCTACACACAGGGACCACTAGAGCATAAGCAGCAAACAAGTGGACAAGACAATGACCCAACCAACACTTAAGGACAAGACAGGGTTTAATACACAGAGGGCAGTGATCAGGAGACGAGGAACAGCTGTGTGGGGAGAGAGAACTGAAGGGACACTGGTGAAATCAATAATCTAAAAGGGAAGGAGGAGATTAAACCATAACCTGTAAGACTATACATAAATAAAAATAAGAGCACAGAAGAACCAAAGATAAATAATGACCTAAGGAGTGAGAGAGACTGAACGGCAGGGGAGACTTATTAACCAAGTGGGGAAGGAACATGAAAGTACTGAAGGGGGAAACCTAAACTATAAACATACAATACTAAGGATAGGAACGCTCATAAACTTGAAACAAGAACTTAAAGGGGAGATGTAATAATGGGGAACAAGTGGGAAACCTGGAAGGGGCTGAGGAACTCAGGGACGCAGAACATGACACTAATAAGCAACTAACCAACCATGGATAGATTCTCTGGATCTAAAATAAACATTTTAAATTAGTTGACTTACTTATAAAGAAGTAGCTGCTGGCTTCTGATCCGCCATGCTTTTGAAAATACCGCGGTGTATTCTGGGTAATTTTTGACCAAGGCTAGGCTACAAGACACCTCCCGTGTATCCTTGCTCAGCTAGCTAAACGGCTAACAAACGGAGAACACGCGCCTCGGTAGAACATGAACACTGGAACATGTCTTGGCGGCTCCCGATGACGTATCTCCTAGGCAACCGGGGCGGGGCCAAGACATCAAGGCGAGGTTTTATTTTGGCATTGAGAAACAAACACCCTTATTTTAGAACAGATTTTTATGGTTATATGTTATGAAACTGCTAATATTTTTCATCAACTGGGTGTCTTTTAATTCATCTGCAACAACATTTTGATAGATTTTTTCGGAGAATACTGGTAAAAACTACAGATTGTCAGTTTAACGCTTCCAGAGTTTCCACCAAAAAAATAAAATAAAATAAAAATAAAATAAATTATGAGCCACCCTAAAAATGTCACTGGTTCCATCTGGCTCCCAAGCACAATGTTCTGGGGGCGTCACTACCATGAAACGTTATATGTAGACTTAGATGAGTGGTTATAGATGCAACAACAACAACAACTAATAATAACAACAATAATAATATCTAAACTTCCATTGCTGAGGAAGAAGTGAACACTTGGCAGTGAAAGGCAGGATTAATTTCACCATAATTCACTTTTTTAGAAAAATCATTACAACAAAGTGACCGAAACTCAGCAAACGTTTCATTTTTAGCGAAGTACATGATCCCTTTATTCTAAAGGCCAGTCAGCTGATCTAACTGATAAACATGTTGGTCGTCTTGTCAACAGATGGCAGCAAACCGCTCAGATTAGTCAGGGGTCCGATCTGGAATAAAAAAAAGTCACCATTGGGTTTTAAATACATTAAAACAGGAACAGGTTGTTTATTATGAAGTTCTTATGAAGTTTTCATGCTCCTCGAGCTTCTGATTTGCATTTGCTTGATTTCTTACTCTGGTTATGTTTTTATTTTACTCTCATGCATCTTAAACTAACAAACAAAAGTGCAAAAATGAGTTTTGGGTGTGCATTCATTCATCCTGTGTGAATGTTTTAACAGTAAATAATAAAAACAAAGGTGAGACGGACAAAGTCAGATGTTCCCAGATGTTTCTATAGTTGGATGGAGGCGCGGATGGGAACTCCTCTGCCAGGCCCGTCCCCGGTGGGCGTGCGTAATGGCCACAGCCCCTCTCTAAATATAACTCCCCGTCAGAAAAGAAAACGGAATTCAAAAGCAATCCGAAAAGTTGTCAGGAAAGCATTGATCCGGATACACTTCGCGGCTTTTGGACCGTTTTGAACCACTTTGTTGCCCCCGGTGGTGCTGGAGAAGCGCGCAGCGGGAGGCGCATTGTTTGTATGCAAACTGGAGGACATGGCCATTGTGCGCGTTTGGGCATATATGGAGCCAGAGCTGGCTCGGAGGACACAGCCCGTCTGAAGTCTCAAGGAGAGCTGACTTTCTCTCCCCGGACTTCCTCCTCATCATCCTCGTTTTCGACTCTGATTCGCTCCATAGCTATGAGCTGCCTGGAAGTGATGTACCACCAGAGCTATGGAGCGCACCACCTCCCTGCGGCAGCGTACAAGGCGACCTACTACAGCCAGCAGCAACAGGTGAGGCGAACTTCCGTCACCACTCAGTAAATATTATCTGTGATACTCAGGATAACACACACACACACACACACACACACACACACACACACACACACACACACACACACACACACACACACACACACAGGCTCTGATGACAAGTCTATGTTTGCGGTATAAGTAATAAAAGAGCGCAGCCGTGAAGGGGAAATGACCTCAGACTTTATGGACGCCGCATCAACACAACCGTAAGTTTGAGTTTTCTCATAATTAGCCTGGATTCCAGTCCAGAGCTCAGCATTCACCTCAGGTCAGGCGTGATGACACCGAGCGATTAATCCTGTGGTCAGATGGTGACGTCATGACAGCCAGTCAGTCACACAGGAATGTGGAGGACAGCGAGACAAATAGTTGGAATGCAGTATGGGAAAAAGGAAAGCCATTTTCACACGATTCCCAGCAGGAATCCATCTAGCAGCGTCCTACACGACCTGTTAGGTTTCCAAGTCCTGCTTGAGCCAGCTGGTCTGTGGGCCTACGTATGAGGAAAGCAGACTAACTCCGGTTTGTTTCTCCTCCAGAAGAGGCTGAGTGCTTACAGCAAGATGCAGGAGTCCATGGAGCAGCAGCAGCAGCAGCAAGGAGCTGGGAGAGGGATGCCGGCTCGGGGCCACCAGGGCCCGCAGCCGGGTTCAGCAGGTGCCGAGTCGAGCATCGAGCTGAAGGACACCTCTCAGCCTGCAGAGGCCGAGTACCTGAGCTCCCGCTGTGTCCTGTTCACCTACTTTAAGGGCGACATTGGGGATGTGGTGGACGAGCATTTCTCTCGTGCTCTGAGCCAGTCCAGCACCTTCAGTGGCGACACCAAACCCGTCAGAGTGACTCAGCCGTCTGCTTCAAACACAGCTAACTTATGGAAAGGTAGGGGGGGCAGCAAAGCGGATGAGATGTTTATGTATAAAATCCTAAATTTGTTCCAGTCACATTTAAAATTCTGCCCTGTTTGTTTCAGGTGGTGGATCCCTCCCTGAAGGTCAAGGCACCTCACCCTGGAGCAGCTCCTTTCCCTCTCAAGCCAACTCCTGCCTCCCGTCTGTTCCCATCTCAGTCCACCCAGACTTTTCCTCCAGTCCGGTCCCCTTCAGCCACCCAGAGGGAGCCTTGTGGGCTGGCCACATGCTGTCCCAGGCCAGCATCCCATCTGCAGCCACCCTCCCTGATACCTGGACCTACAGTCTGAGCCCCCAGAGCCCAAGCGGCTACCCCCACGAGGTTTACCACCCTCACTCACGCCCTCACCCCCACATCCACACAAGACACCATCACTCCATGCTTCATCCATACCCGACCCACAGCCCGGCTCTGGATCCCAGATTCAATGCTCTGCTGCTGCCGGGTGTTCGGAGCCAAACCAGCAGTAGCGCAGGAAGCTCTCCTCACAGCGATGGAGCCAAAACAGAGATGGATCTCAGCCCCGTCACAGCAGCCCCCGTCACTTGGACCCCGCCAACTCTCCACGGACCTTTGGAGGTGTATGACTCAGGTAGGTACGACAGAAGCCCGCACATTTCCCACGTGAGTTAAAAAGATCATGCTGAAAAGAGCCTCTTCCCTTCTTTTGCAGCAATGGATCAAACCAAAGCGAAGACTCCAGTCTGGTTCTAACTGATGAGCATGAGGAGGAAACCAGCTACAGCAGCACTGTAATGTAAACGTGGAAACAGGTGTAGCTTGGTCCTCGTGAATGTGATGGAGACGATCTTAGGCTAGGGCGGTGGCGGTAGCGATGCTTTTACAGACTACTAGCGTTAAAAATAAACACCAACAGAAATGATGTTTGTTTCCTTAAGCGTGGGACCAAGCAGCTCTGTTTAAAGAGCTTGATCTTGAGCCACGATGTTTTTTGTATTACCTTGAATGACTTTCTCAGAGTGCACTGTTTAGTCATGCTAAACTGTTTTCTGAAAAGCTTTTTGTTGCATAAATGATGCTGATGCGATTTTTGCCTTTGGGAATTGTGTAGTGTAAATACCATTGTTGTATGTTGAATAAATAAATTAATTAAAATATGAGTTATTCTGTTTTCTCTGGCATCAAACTCCTGAAAAAATGCAAAAACCAATCAAAGTTGTGTTTAAAAATCTGTTTATTGATTAAAAATCAATGTGAAAAAGACTCTGCGTTCCACACAAGGCAGGCTTTTTAAGTCGACATGATTTTTCCTCTTCACATTAAACATTTTTGCTTCCAGAACAACAAAGAGACACAAAGGAATGGATTTCCTGTCTGGACAGGAAGTGTGTGAGGCGGTGGAAGACTACTCACCTGCATCAGCACCGTAAAAAATAAAAGTGGATGTTTTGGTTTCCATTTACCTAAAAAGTGTCTAAACTAAAATTTCTCCAGCTTCTTGAAAGAAAAGAGAAGTGATTTTTAATTTAGAGTTTGTGGATTGCTCATGGGGACAGAAGCGTTACAGCTCTAAGGGAACTCAGTATGAGGTTGAGTCGTAATGAAAATTCATTTAAGCGGGTAACGTGCCCTCATGTGGAAACACACCTGTGTGTGTGTGTGTGTGTGTTTTCCATGAATGGTCCGACCAGGTGGCACGATCAGCCCTCTTACATTCCAGCCTCAGCTCCCACGTGTGTCTCCTACATCTCCACCAAACAGCAGCTGCACGTCCAGACGGAGAATCAACAAATCATGATGCAACAAAAATGATCCAGAAAGAGATGGAAAAAGACAACTTATTAGATTCTTAATATAGGAAAAATGTCATATTAATAAAGTTGTGAAAGTATAGCTCCCCCAAAACCCATTGAACTCATTTTTTACTACTAGTCTTTGAATTGTGAATATAAAACTGAAATGAGCTTAAAACATTTCTTTCATGCCTCTCAACAGCGTTCTAACATAGTAAGGCTATTGATATGTTGTGGAAAAAAACAACAAAAAAACATTAATAAAGTGGTTCTCTCTTGTCTTTGTCTAAAAAGCTCCACCAGTAACGCGTTTCGGACTGAAAGCAACTATCGAACCATCTGGTTGTCGGTCTCACTGAACCACCACACTTCCCTGGGTCCTCCACTCATCACACACTCACCTATTTAACAACAGAACATCACTGGTGGAGGTTCTCCGCTCAATAACATCAGAGAAGGAGAAACAGCCGGCTGCTACCACTTCAGCTTTAGGACAAACTACCAGAGTCCCAAAAAGAAAAACACCATTTGAAGTCGCGGACAACAAAAGATGTTTGGACCTAGAAAACAGTGTTTAGCGCCATCTCGTTTCCTCCAGCAGAAGCGTCTCAGGGAAGGTACCCGAGGGGAGGAAAGAGTGTTCCACGACCTTGCTTGCATTCAAACCTACCTAGCTGTTCTGTAGATTAGCTATAACAGCTTTAAGAGAAAACCCCTAACTATATATTTCATGTTTAGCGTTGTTTGGAGATAAGCCTGTTTACACTAATGCAGAATGGAAGTGGTTCGGTTTTCGTACGAACGGACTACCGTTCACACACAAGAACAAAGTATTAGAATTCAATTCAATTCAAAAATACTTTATTAATTCCAGAGGGAAATTGATTAAATTAATGATTAAAACTGATTAAAATGGAAGAAATTTGACACAATATGTTTAAAGATATACCCGTATAAATAAGGTGTACTATCACATGCTGGACTGATGTCACTGATAATAAAACACAAGCTGGCTTAATGAGACAGATTTTATTTAGAAATATACCAGATGCATCTCGTTGAGATTGGACTAAAAGGTTTTTGATGCATGTAGAAGCCATATGAGAACCAACATGCATCTGTTCCACATTTAGTGTGACTCTAGCATGTTCTCCTCATGCATGTGTGGTTTTTCTCCTGTTCTTTCTCCGGTACCAGCCAAGAAAACCAGTCTCCACCTCGAATTAAATGAAGCAGACAGGTAGGAGCCTCCTATTGGATAATTACTGCATGGGCGATTATTTTTCAGCTGCTTCAAGTTATTTAACCCGACTGGTGCAGTGAGCTGCTTCTCATGTCTTAAACAACCACGTGGAAAGACACGTCTGGTGGTCGTGGAAAAGCTGTTAGCCTGTGTGAGAAGGGTCAGATCATTGGCATCAAGCAGAGAAAACATCTAAGGAGACCACGGACGCAATTTTTTGGGGGGACAGGGGGGACATGCCCCCCCCACTTTGTCCATAGTCAAGTTTTGACCCCTGCACTTTTTACCATCCGAAAGCAATATTACTTTATATTAAATTGACACTGGTTGAGCTCTAGGACCAACCGGAAAACAACTGCTTCCCATTAGAGCATACTGTAAAGATCCCCCCCCCCCCCCCCACACACACACACACACACACTTCTAAAGTGAAAATTACGTCCATGAAGGAGACGCAGAAACGACTAAAGCTGGGTTCAGGACTCTCCAACGCTTTATTAAAACTGGAAGGATAGAGGGGACCCATCGTCTCTGAGGAAGAAACGTGGCAGGAAAAAAATCCTGAATGACTGTGATCAGTGATCACTTAATTGAAAACAACAGGAGAACTCAGGGCTGTGTTTGATAGTGAAAGTAAGAGCCTTTGCACTCACAATGCAAAAGGAACTATGGGGACTGGGACTGAACAGCTGCATAGCCGTAAGAAAACCACTAATCAGTGACGCAAACTGGGGAAAAATGCTTGAGTTTGCTAAGGAGCATAAAGATTGGACTCTAGAGCAATGAAAGAAGGTCATGTGGTCTGATGAGTCCAGATGGACCCTGTTCCAGAGTGATGGGTGCATCAGGGTAAGAAGAGAGGCAGATGAAGGGATGCACCATTCATAATTGTGCCTATGGTGTTTTATTAATTATAAAACAAAAACTGGCAAAAATAATGCAACACTGCTTTTATTTAGAAATCTACCAAATGTACCATGCTGCTCCATGTCCCCTTCCTGTCTGGATCATGTAATTCGTTTAACTTTGTAAATAATATATTAGTTTAGTCTGGCTTGCCAGGCTAGCTCACTGGACCAGTTGGGTTAAATGTTTATGTTTATGTATTTAGCAGACGCTTTTGTCCAACGCGACTTACAAGTGATAATCGGCATGTTGCCCTTGAGGCTAACAACAACAATAACAACAACAACAAACAATTTCCAGTCAGTCGTAGGTGGCAGTGAGGCAGCGTGATGAATCATGGAGAGGAGGGAACAAGGAGTGGACAGTAGAGAGGGGGACGGGTGCAGGGAGGGTGCTAGTTTAGAAGATGCTCTCTGAAGAGCAGGGTCTTCAGGAGTTTCTTGAAAATTGAAAAGGAAGCCGCTGATCTGGTAGTGCTTGGTAGGTCATTCCACATTTGTGGAACGATGCATGAGAAGAGTCTGGATTGTCCTGAGCGTGGTGTAGGCACTGCTAGCCGACCATCCTGTGATGACCGGAGCGGCCGGGCCGAGACGTAAGCCTTTGTAAGAGGATGCAGGTAGATGGGAGCCGTACCGTCTCGGACTTTGTATGCTAGTGTTAGCAGTTTGAATTTGATGCGTGCTGCTAGCGGTAGCCCGTGGAGCTCAATGAACAGAGGGGTGACGTGTGCTCTTTTTGGCTGGTTGAAGACCAGACGCGCCGCTGCGTTCTGGACCATTTGAAGAGGTCTCACAGTACAGCCTGGAAGACCAGTTAGAAGGGCGTTGCAGCAATCGAGGTGGGAGATGACAGTAGATTGCACCAGGAGCTGGGTGGCATGTTCTCTTAGGTATGGTCTGATCTTTTGTATGTCATACAGCGCAAAGCGGCAATAACTTGTTGCAGCTGAAAGATAATCATCCATGCATTAATTATCCAGTAGAAGGATCCTACCTGTCTGCTTAGTTAAATCCAGGTGGTGACCTACTGTAATCAACGGCCAGTGCATCCTCAGTTATGAGAATCAATTAGCAATTCCCGTAGATTAATTAATCCAGCAGCTTCTGAGAAAACAACACTATCAAAGCCAAATTTCTGACATCTAACAGAACTTTAAATATTGTGCGTGTAAAGCAACAGAAACACTTAGGCTAATGTTTTGGTGTGTTTCATTCAGAGGGCATTAGGGCTGTACTCACCCTTTTGCTGATCAGCTGTGATGACCAACTGAGCCAGTTTCACCATAACGTATGGACAAAAAGCAAAAATGGGAACGAAACTTTTTTTCGATGCAACAGTGTTTTCAGAGGTTATGAAGACTGAGCAGACATTTTTAGCTGCAGTGTAGGGATGGACAATATATCGGCATCAATATAGGTATCGGCCGATGTTAGTCATTTTTTAACATATCGTATCGGTTCGATAAATAAAACCGGTCGATATTAACTACCGATATTTTTTCCATCTCGTCTTCATTTGCTTGCCTGTTTCAGAGGGTGGGGGGGGGGTGATGTGTATTGGTTCAGTCATGTGAACAGTGACTGTAATCATCTCAGAACCGTAAATGTGTGTGTTGTATGTAAATAATAACATAAATTCAGTTTTAATCATTTTCATTCTATACAAAATCTGCTGATTATAGAAGCGTTAATGTCAATATATCGTATAGGCAAATATCGGTCATCGGCCATAACAGCGAACTTAATTTAGGATATCGGTATAGGCCCAAAATTTTCATATTGGTGCATCACTACAGTACTTTCCGTTTCAGACAATTCTTGTTTATAGAGGACAAAATGTTTAAATATTTAAAGTGATGAACTGAAATAAACAACCTTTATGTTCATGTTTTGGCTTTTGTACTCAACTGTTTATGACTCTTTTTCTATTATTATTTTTTGTTAATTTCAGGGACAATGTTTGCAATTCTCAATCAGCCTTATTAGCATTAGCATGTTGCCCTAGCATGCTAACAGGCATCCCACTGGCGGCCTTGCAGCATCACCCCAGGCACTTCCACTGCAGGAAGAAGAAGAGCACTGAACAGCTGATTCACATTAAAAAGGGCCCAGAGGTGTGATAAAATAAAGGAAATGTTGCATGTGTAGCATAAAAATTTAATTATGCAGCAAACGCTTTGTGTTCCTTTGTAAGCTCATCACCACTCTTTGTTTA